TTGACCAATTTACCGACCAACGTTGGTCGGTATTTAGTTTTAAAAAAATGTAAATATTTTTTTCCCCAGTTTTCGTCCAACCTGGACGGTTTTTGGTCGCATTTTTTGACCGACCAACGTTGGTCGGAAATAGTTGGTCGGTTTTTAGCAGATTTTTAGTAGTGTATATCATATTGGGATTGTTGGCTTTATATAGCAATATATGGTTCATGTTTAATAGTTGCTTAGGTTAAATTTTATTATTAATTCAGTAAATATTAGGCTTACCTAGTCTCAGAGACTAGGTGTCATCACGACTTCTTCGGAGGGATTTTGGGCCGTGACACCTACTTGAGGCCTCAAATCATGCCAAACAACATCAAAATCACGAATTGCACCTTAATTCAAGCCTAAGGAACTAATCCAAATTTCTAAATTCAAAACTTGCGCTGAACATGCCTAAATAACTCGGGATGACCTCAAATTTTGCATACAAAATCCAAATGACACAATGGACTGATTCCAACTCTCGGAACTCCAATCCGAACCTGATATCAGCAAAGTCAACTCCCGGTCAAACCTATGAACCTTCCAAACCTTCAAGTTTCCAACTTTCACCAAATATAGCCAAATCAACCTAGGAATCTCCAAATCCAAACCTGGACATATGCCTAAGTCCAAAATCAGCATACAAACGTATTTGAACCATCAAAACACCATTCTTGGGTAGTCTATATAAAAGTCAAACTCTGATCAACTCTTACAACTTAAGCCTCCAACCAAGGGACTAAGTGTCCCATTTCAATCTAAAACTCTCGCGGAACCAAAATAACTACCTCGGCAAGTTATATAACGACAAATACACATATGTAAAGCATCGAATAGGGAAAACAATGCTAAAATACTCAAAACGACGGACCGGTCATTACACCAACCTTCATCCATCAACTCTCATACAACCTCTACTCCAGCGCCCCTTGGTCCCACATATTCCAGTGGTGCACCTGGCAATGCTTCTTTATCAAACGAAATTGGGAGTCTATGTCATCAGGTATATCTCTTTTTCTTCATCATCATGTGCTTGTTCTGCCTATGTACCTTCTGCTGAATCCTCCTTGGCAGATAACACCAATGTGCAAATCAAAATTTGACCATTCAACCCTCTCATCCCATGATTACCCGATCAAAGAATAACATTCATAAACCTATTCAGAAATTGTGTCTTAGTGCTACTGTTCATGATTCTGCTAATCCCAATATATCCCAGGTCTCACCATTAACCAAATCAATTCCATTACCTCTAGCAACCAAAAACCTCACCAAGCCAAAATAGTTTTCTTCCTTACCTAAACCTATAGAGCCTCGCACTGTTCGTCAAGCCTTAAAAGATCCAAATTGGCGACAGGCTATGAATGAAGCATTACAAATTTAAGGTACTTGGTCTCTTGTGCCACTCGTCCCTCATGCCAAACTAGTGAGTTCTTAATGGGTATTTCATGTTAAGTATAATTCGGATGAGAGCATTGGACGTTATAAAGCTCGATTGGTTTCTAAAGGTTATCTTCAACAGCCTGGTGTGGATTATTTTGAGACCTATTCTCCTGTTGCTAAGTATACTACAGTGAGAGTAGTTCTTTCTCCTCTTGGGCAATTGGATATCAATAATTCATTTTTACATGGGCAATTATCTAAGGAAATTTACATGACTCATCCACCTGGATTTGTCAATGAGAAATTCCCAATCATATTTGTCGGTTACATAAGGTTATCTATTGCTTGAAGTAGGCTCCACGTGCCTGGTATGATGAACTGAAAGCTTATCTTTTATCTTTTGGTTTTCATTACTCTCAGTGTGATCTTTGTCTCTTCATCTTTGCAAAAGCTAGAGTTATTATCTATCTTGTTATTTATGTTGACGATCTCATAATTACTGGCAACTACTCACGGTATGTTAAAGAATTTATCAAATAGCTTGGTACTCGATTTTCCATAAAAGATCTTGGTGATCTAAATTTTTTTGGGTGTTGAAGTCATTCGTTCGCCTACTGGTCTATTCCTTAACCAACAGAAATATAATTGTGAGATACTTGAAAGAACCAACATGGCAGATGCATAACCAATGAGGACACCTACTGCTATTGGCTCATGTCCAGGTTCTAAAGATGGTTCTCCCCTTGAAGATCCCACAAAATATAGGAATGTAGTTGGAAGCTTGCAGTATTTGCATCTTACTCGCCCAGATGTTGCCTTTATAGTCAACAAGTTGTCTCAGTTTACAAGCTGTCCCACGACAACTCAATGGACCATGGTAAAATGTGCTTTGCTCTATCTTGATTGGAATATCTGATCGTTGTCTGTTTCTTTAGAAAAATTATCCTCTCTTGATTCATGCCTTTTCTGACGTTGATTGGGCTGGTGATCGTGATGGTTGCTCGTCCACTACAACTTATATTGTGTTTTTTGGCTGTCATCCAATCTCATGGAGTTCCAAGAAATAAGTTTTGACTTGCTCTTCGATGGAGGCAAAAATATAGAGCCATTCCCTCTACTACTACACTTTATTGGGTGCGTAATCTTCTCGAGGAGTTATCTGTTACTCCCTCTCAGAACTTGTCATCTGCTATGTTAATCTTGGTACTCCATATGTTTGTGCTAAACCTGTGTTCTAGTTTCGTATGAAGCATGTTGAACTTGATTATCATTTTGTACGTAAATTAGTCCAGCAAGGTCTTCTTCAGGTTGCTCATGTTTTGTCGAAGGAGCAACTAGCTGGCATGCTTATAAAACCTCTTCCAAGTAGCTCTGTTGAGCTGCTATGTTCCAAGATTGATATTTCTGATCGACCTACCATATTGCGGGGCATAATAGAGATACTTATTTTTAGTAATCCACTAGACAGTGTGTCTAGGGCTAGTTTTTATATAAATATCTCAAAAAGAAAGAACAAAACAAATGTCAGGGGTCTTACAAAGTGAAAGAAATAAAATTTGACAAGTACATAGCCCCTATTATCAGTGTTGAGCGTAGTACACAACACTAATATTACACAATGTAATATAATAAAGCAACTTATAAAAACTAGCCATGCTAAGTCTTCGATAATAAATATCACAATGTAATCTTCTTTTGTTGTATGTTTGGCCATCTTCCCTGTGCCCTAATAGATACGAGCCTAATGTAACCAGTTATGTAGCCATAGTGTTCCTTTCCCAAATACCATGTGCATCATCTTTGTAGTTGTAGCTCTTCTGGTCATCCACATATCGAGTATAATGTGTTATCGCAATATCTACTGCATTGCCTTTCCTCTTCATGTCTTGCATCTCCTTGCATCTACCAGTCCATTCCCATATCGTTACTTTTTCCTCCTGATGTCTAGAGTCCAGTAGTCCACCTAAGTATTCGGATTGTCCATTGCTGACCCAAAAGGAGTAGTCCAATGCCACTTTTTCATAGTGAGCACAATGTCGTAGGCATTCATATAAGTCCTGCTTGCCCATGTTGATATCATTTGTCCATATTTTCCCTTCATCGTGTATCATGTTAGTATTCTCCAGAGTTCCCCTGATTCCCAAGTGGCAAACCTGTTCATATAATGTTTCAATACCATATGTGTATCTGTATTGTTCCTCCACCTAACAGAATCTCCCGTGACTGGAAGAAATCCCACTGTTGAATTCCTGTGTGATATGATGATGTTGTATTGTTTGGTTCCATTTATGTGTGAGCGCTAGCTATAGATCAATGAATATTTCATACAAAACCAAATCTTGGATGTTGGATATGTGGGAAGTATTGAGATCATAGTCCGCAGTACTTGTATAGATCCTTTAATTTGTTTCCAAAGTCCATAACATCGTGCAAATTCCTTTGCCAAAATTCTGGGCAGCCATCTGATGTATCTCTAAATCTTTGTTATGGTTGTAATACCTGTTGCTAGTACGCAAATATACAACACTTTCTCGGGTTGGATATTCAGCAATTGTTTCTTATAGTTGACGGCTAATTTGACACTGTCCATTTGCTAAATTTTCTTTTGACGAATTGTCTCCAAGCTCGATTCCATGCTTGTACTTACGACTAATACACCTTCAAGGGAATGAGCACAGGGTGCTAATACCACCCATTTAGCTTGTATCAGATAGTAATGCATGGATACAGTAACTTTCCCTACAAAACATAAAACAACATTAGTATAAACATTGTCCCCCATGGCCTCCTCCCTAAGGGTTTGATCAAGGTGATCGAGTCTGTTACTTCCAGTGGACCTCCTCCCCATTGTGCTCTTCTCTTCCTCACCTCCTAACTTCCTGCAATTCTTATTCTTAAATATGGACATTGAGATTTATCATCATTCACGATCCTCCTTTCTTGAATATCCATCTCACCAAAGCAAGTGCTCTCAATGGGACCAATATCTAGTGCATAGTTAGCAAGATGATCTGCCAGTTTGTTTCCTTCTCTAAGAGTATGGGTTATTGTAACATTTTATCTTGACATTAGTTGTTTGGTTTTCTCCACTTCTCTTGCGACAGACCAAGGAACAAACCACTCTCCTTTCACTGCATTCTTCATTATCATAGAATCTGTGTGCAGATTAATAATGATATAATCATGTTCAATACAAAATCTAAGACCTTGAACTATGGCCTTAGCTTCTGCTTTTGTATTAGTTCCTTCAGGTATTTCTTTACCACACGCATACATCATATATCCCTCTTCATTCCTTAGAACAAAGCCAATAGCACTTCTCCCAGGGTTGCCCCTAGAAGCCCCATCAATGTTCACTTTAATCCATCCTGTTGTTGGGAACTCCCATAACACCTTAGTAATCTTCAACTTAGGAAGATATTGTTCCATCATTGTAACTAAATCTGGCCATTTGTGAGGTACGTGAAGTAGGCTAGGCTTCCTAAATTTGACAAGTGATTGGAGTGTATTAGATACCTGGTAAATGACCCTACTCACAGTTACTCCATCTTCATATTTGTAGTTGTTCCTTCTCTTCCGCAACTCCCATACAATAATGGGTGGCATTTCCTGAATTATAGGCTGTATTCTTGGTATTACATCAGCATTCCAACACTTGATTATAGCTTGGTGAAATGTAAGCTCCTCTATCCTAATTCCTGCACTTGGCAAAAACTACGACCACACTCTTCTAGCAGCATAGGACGTGAAAAATAAGTGTTACATTATTTCCTTCATCGAATTATTACAACACCAACACCTAGAAGCCATCAAATAGCCCAATCTTCTGATAAAGTCATCTAGTGGTAGCTTATTTCTCCATAATTTTCACATAAAGAAGCTATTTTAAATGGTAAACCTTTCACCAAAATCTTCTTATAAGCATTGCATGGTTCTTGCCTCCTTCTCACATATTCCCAAGATGATTTTACACTAAAATCTCCCCTAGATTCCAGCATCCAAAATGGCTTATCCAGTACATCATGTATCACTGGTGCTTTAGTGTGTTCAAGTATGTGGTTGGCAATTTCCTCTAGCAATATTTCTCTAATTTTGGCTTCATCCCACTGTCCATCTTGCATTACATCATGCACATTATGAACTGTTTCATCACAAAAGAAATCAGGTGGAGTCATGAAATACAAAGCCCCCAAACTTGTCCAGTTTTCAAACTAGAACAGAGTTGATCCCATTTTCGTATGCCACACAATTTGGTGTTCAACTAAATCCCTGCATTCGAGCATTTTCTTCCATACATGTGATCCATCCCTCCATGGTACCACCATAGGATTGAGTTTTTTGTAGTATTTTTGACACATAAATGAACTCCACATAGTAGGTTTTGTTCTAAAGTTCCACCACAGTTTGCAAAACAAAGCCTTTGAAACATCATCGAGAGATCTAAATCCCCCCTACTCACATGGCATACATAATGTGTTCCATGATGCCAATGTCTGCTCGAGCCACCAACAGAATTACACCAGAATAACTGGGCAAAGATCTTTTGCAATTTTTTGATCAAATAAGCAGGAGGATTTACTGCTGAAAGGAGGTGAATTGTTATACTTTGAAGAACATATTTGATCAAGACAACCCTACCTCCTATAGAAAGAAGTTTATCTTTCCATGCTTGTAATTTGTCTAACACCTTGTTAAGGAGACCTTGATAGTAGTCTATCCTTCTTCTGGAATAGAAGATTGGGCAACCAAGGTACATGAATGGAAATTCCTTCTTGGATATCCCAGTGATCCTTTCCACCTTGTGCACGACATGTGTACTGGTTGAGTGATGCATATATATGGCAGATTTGCTTTTGTTAATCAACTGACCAGAAGCACCTTCATATGCATACAAGACTTCCATCACCAATTGCAACGAGGTAGCATCAGAGGATGAGAATATGATTGTATGATAAGCATAAGCTAGATGATTAATCTTAGGGTTCCACTTAGGCAATCCAAATTCACAAAAGTAAAGGTTCATATGTAATGCATTTACTCCCCTTGACAATGCTTCAGCAATAAGAATGAATAATGTTGGCGACAAAGGATCACCCTGCTTCACACCTCTTGTTGATTTGAAGAATCCACATGGTTATCCATTAAGCAAGACAGAATACCAGTTATTTGATATAATGTCAAAAATCAGGCTAATGAACCTTTCCCCAAATCCCATTTTCCTCAAAACCTTAGTCAGGAACAACCAAGATAGCCTATTATAGGCTTTTGTCATATCTAATTTGATCATCACGTTTGGACCAGCCTTAGTTCTCAACCTAATATCATCTCTTGTGTTAGCAAAACATTTTCCACTATGATCCTGCCTTTCACGAAGCCTGCCTGCTCATCTGTTATCAGATTAGGAAGATAGCCAACTAGCCTCTCATGAATAACTCTGGAAAACACCTTGTTTATGAAGTTGCTGAGGCTAATAGGTCACATGTCTGAATATGAAATCACTTCTTTCTTCTTTGGCAGCAGTACCAGATTTGTATGAGTTATGGATCTAGGCAGTTCATGTCCATTGAAGAAAGCTTTCACCATCTCCACAATGTATTCTCCTACTATATCTCAACATACATGGAAGAAGAAACCTATAAAGCCATTAGGTCCTCCTGCGCTATCTCTAGTAAGCCCATAAACAATCCATTTTACCTCCTCTATTGTAGGTTGTTTCAATAGTTCCTGATTCTGTTCATAATCTACCATTGATGGTATATGATCGATAATGCCAAAAGCTGTAGGAACCTGATCTTCATGAAACAGTTCCTTGAAAAAGTTTACTACCTCTTCAGCCATTGTTTCTTTGTCTTCTATCCAATTCCCATCTCTCTTTTGTATTCGTTTAAGATGCAATCTCTTCCTCCTTCCATTTACTTGTGTGTGTATTTCTTTCTCCATCTTGAAACCAAGACATTCCTATTTTTTGTTTCCAGAAATCCTCCTCCAAAGCCAAATATCTTATCAATTATGCTTGTATTTTTTGTAACCTTGCTCTGTTCTATTGCGATGAGTTGTGTTCAAACTGAGCTTCATGCACTAATACCACCTCCTCTAAGCTTGCAATCTTCTAAAAAATAACACCATAGGTAGCTTTGCTCCATAGAGATAGAGCTCGCTTCAGCCTTTTCAACTTGTGATTAAAAACAAAGAATGGATTTCCAGCAAAACAACACACCAATTTTCTTTAACAACTTCCTTAAACGATGGATGTTTGGTCCAAAAATTTAAAAACCTGAATGCTTTCTTAATTGGCACAGTTGTAGGGTTGCATGACAGCAGTAGAGGACAATGATCTGATCCTATTTTTGATAGATGAGTGACCTCTATCCTGGCTAGCATTTGTTGGAATTCAGTGTTAGTTAAACATCTATCCAATCTTTTAAAAATACAATCTTCCTCCGCTCTACCACTCCACCATGTATAAATGCTCCCTTTGAAAACAAGATCAAATAAATTACATTTGTTAACACAATATCGGAAATTATTTACTTCATTCAGTGATACTGACAGTCAACCAAATTTCTCTTCTTCATTCCATATTACATTAGAATCTCCAGTTACAAGCCATGGTGAAGTCATAACTGTGGCTAAGGCATACAGAGAGTCCCATAATTCAATCCTTTCTATCGCGGTACATTTTTCATATACCAGCGTGACAATAAAACTCTTATGGGTATCAACATTGGTCAGCTTCATAGTTAGTTGTTGCTCCATGTCAAATAAGATATCTACAATATGATCTTCATCTACAAAAGCCCATAGTTTGTTGGTAATGTTAACAAAGGCTTGTGCAAAGCCTATCCTTCTTCTGTATCTTTCCAACTTCCTCATTTGCTGTATTGGCTCCATAATTCCAATAAATTGAAAATGATGTTGTCTATTCATATTGACAAGCCTAGTAAAGGCTTTTTTGGTGTTAACCGATCTCACATTCCATATGATTACATTCATATCTAATTATGAGATTTAGATTGGTTCCTTCTCGTTTGAATCCCAACTGTTTGTACATTTGAGCTATCCTTTTGTTACTTTTTCCTTCCACGGCCAGCTAATTTCCCTTTCTCCATTTGCCTTGGAGATATATCTCCTTGCCTAGCTATGTTGAGGAAGTTTTGTGTTGTGGATTCGTCATCCAGATCCTTACCATCTGTGCCCAAAATCCCCACATATTCCTTGGTGTTTACTTGAGTTCCAAGCTCGGTTCTCACATGTTTAGGAATTAGAGTTTCACATCCCTTCTCCTTTCCAGCAGTTTCTTGAGTTTCAGTAGAGCTTACCATCTGATCCTTCTGCATTATATTACTTGTCCCCCCTAGCTCATCATTTGTATGTGTCAAAGTTGTATTGTTTTCAGCTTCAGACTCATTTCTCAACATTGTTTCAACTCCATTAGTTTCTCCTGGATCCACTGAGCCCACCTGATCAATTGAATGTCTTGTACATGTTGTTTGGTTAGGGTTCTGCATCAAATTAGGATCACAATATCTACTTGCAATGCTGCCTTCTTCACACTGAATTTGTTTGTTACTGATATGTTCCTTGGCCTTCTCATTAACACCTTGTTTTTCTTCTACCTCATATTTAGTGGATATATCGTCATCTTCCATTGCATCAGGTATTTCACCTTCCTCAGAATCCTCCTCAATTTGTTCACTCCATAATTTCCCCCCACTTGCCTGTTGTTTCACTTCTTCCATAAGCAATGCAATGGACTTTGCTGTGTCAACTGTTTGCGATGGAATTTGCTGGCAAGAACGATTGGTAGAAACTAAACCACCTCCAAAATTCCTACTCACCCATTGTGTAGTAGATTCCTTTTGTAATTGACAAACAGTCTCAATCCCTTTGTCATTAGGATTAAAAACAGATGCCTTAGGATTTAGTTTGATAGCTGATCTTGGAGTACCATTCTTAGTCACCCTAGGAGATACCTTATGACTGCGATCAACATTACTAATTTCCACCAAGACCAGCTGGTTATTATCTTCCTTATCTCCTTCTTCTATCTCAAGAATAGCAAAGTTGTTAGTTGTTTGAACTTGTTGAACTGTACCATCAACTGGAACGATTACTTTGCAAGTTTTTTCTTGTTCCTGACTTTGCTTGGCTCTGTTCTTCACTCGATTATCTCGAACTTCCTTCCATTGTTCACCTACATTTCCTACTACTTTTTCACTTGTGAGAATCATCAAAGGAGATTTATCTTTGCCTCTCTCCTAGTCTTCATCATTAACAACCCTCTTATCACAGCCCTTATTCTCCATTAATTCTAGATGCATACGCAACATTCAATTTCATTATGACATTGTAACCTATAATCATTACAATACTTAGGTAACATATCATATTGAATTCTTACCCACTCTATCCTGACATCACAAGTAGCCTCATTTTCGATGTCCATCCGCACCTTCTTAGGTAACTCTGGTAGCAAATCAACTAGGACCTTGACTCTTGCACAACTAGGCCTAGTTTTGTTAATTGTAGCCATGTCAAGATGCAACGGCTTCCCCACAACTGAAGCTATTGAAAACAAGTATTCCTTAACAAAGTAAGTAGCCAGCAAGTCTGGAAAAGAAATCCACGCCATAGCCATTAGAGTTTCTTCCCTTGCCTTAAATTTTGCATCATAAATAAGTGGTCGTAATTGGTATGCATAACCATCTTTGGCTTTAACATAATAAGCGCTTTTCGATATAAAATTGATGAAATCTTCCCATAGCATCAATCTAATTAAAACATATCGATCTCTAAGGAATCCAATACTACATTCTCTTTTAATTTCACATTGACTGGGGATGATTCGGCACAACTCCTGCAGTTTTGGCCAACCGTATGATAATTTGCCAACAACTGCATATTGTAGGCCTTTAATTACATTCATGCGATCAACTTCTACTTCTGGGAATTTAACTAAAATTTATCCATTCAAAAAAGATGCCCGCCTCGTTAGAATGGGCTGGACAGAAGCTTGAGCAGTCACGTTCACGTTCATTAGCGCATTAATTACGCTGGGTTTCAAAATATTCGAGTAATCCAGTGGCTTTTTGTCTCTTTTCATTAATTAGGTTGGCTTTTCGGACGTGTCTGCATTCACCAAACGCAATTTCACGCTGGCTTCCCTTATTTTGTTCGATAAGTAACATCACTCTACATTGTGCTTAAAATTTTTATATTTGGTGATCTTTTCCTTTTTATCCTTTTTTTGTTCTTTCTCTGTTCTGTCAGAAAGGGCAAACCTCTTATGGAGCGGAGATTTAAGGTCCATCCATACTGATTACGAAGGCTTCAAAAGGACCTACATGCTCTAACTACTCGTAATAAGAAATTAGGGGTGGCAAATAGGCTGATTGGGGTGAATCTGGGCGGGTATTAGGTCAATAACTGGGTCATTGCCCAACCCAGTCCAAAATATACTTGGGTACTTTAATAGGCATAGGTTCACTTCTAAGCCAATCTTGAAGACAAATAAGAGATTGCACCAGTTTAGGCGTCAACGAACTCCTAAACAAGTCAAGAATGCGACCTCCAGTACTGAATGCACATTCTGATGCAACACTTGAAATAGGAATGGCTAACACATCACGAGCCATCTCTGCAAGAATGGGAAATCTAGGCTCATTGATTTTTTACCACTTTAAGATTTTAAACTCATCTGTTTCAGGCTCAATATCTTCAGCAAGATATCTATCTAACTCTGATTTAGCACCTAAACCTCCTGTCACTTCCTTATGTTTCTCAAATTTCAATTTCGTTCTCATTGTTTCTCTTTTCAAAAAGCTACCATAACTACTCACGGTAGCTGTTGTGTTTCCAGATGAAGCAGATGTAGATCCTTTTGAATTTTTCTTTACATAATAATCAAACAAAGAATCCATATAATTTTTCACTTCTACAATCAATTTCTTCCCTTCTTTTTCTCCAAACATCCTCACAATTGCAAAAGGAAACATAGTCAAACTTGTTACGGGGATCCAAAATTGATGCAATAAGGATCATATTGTTCATTTTTTCAGGTTAGCCCCAATACTTGACAAATTTTTCTTTCATTTTTTTTGCCATTTCTCTCAAACTAGCATCTTCATGTTCCATTCACTCTTTCAAAATAAGATCAAGCTCCCAAATTTCAACAAAATGTATATTAGAAGTGACATAAATAGAACCAGAGACCCTAAAAGTAAGCAAATAAAAAGCTTCAAGAAATTTTACCATTATTCTCACATTATCCCAGTCATCACTTGTGAGATCACCTGCACTAGTTCCATCTTCACATACATAGGTACGAAGATGATGCAACAATCCAGTATCAAAGAAACTATATTTGTCAAAGGCAAGCTCAAATTATTGTGTTGTGTCTAACATCATGTATGTAGAGTTCCATCGAGTAGAAACATCTAAGCATAATGTTCTCTTGGAAGTTAACTTTTGAGATTCACAACATTCTTTAAACTTTCTAATCCTAGCGGGAGATAGTCTAATGTATCTCACAGCTTGTCTAACTCTCTTGATAGAAACACCAATTTCTTTCAACCCATCTTGTACAATGAGACTAAGTATGTGAGCCATACATCTAACATGCAGGTGTTTACCATTCATTATATTAGTTCCCCAAGTAGTAAATTATTTAGACACTTCTCTTACTGTGACATCATTGGAACTAGCATTATCTACCGTTATAGTAAATATATTTTTCAAACCCCAATCAAGCAAGCAATTAGTAATAACCGCCGCCATATCATCACCCTTATGACTAGAGATAGGACAAAAGTTTATTATCCTTTTATGCAATTTCCAATCGCTGTCAATAAAGTGAGCAGTAAGACATATATAGTTTATTCTTTGTATAGAAGTCCAAGTATCTGTTGTAAGACAGATTTTTGGACGTGCTTCATTGAAGGACTTCTTCAAACTGTCTTTGTTCACAATAAAGTTCATAACAATCTCTTGTCAATGTTCTACGAGAAGGAATTTTAAATTGAGGTATTGTGACTCCTATAAACTTCTTAAATCCTTCATTTTCAACAAAACTAAATGGCAGTTCATCCAAAATTATCATTTGAGCTAAAGCTCACCTACTAAGTGCTTGATCAAATTTTCAAGTGGTAAGCACCCCTTCATTTGCCCCATTTGAAGCTAGTAGAAAACTTAGTTGTGTTTGACTATTTTTTATTTTACGGGGCATTTTGGGACACTTAGTGAGATGATTGTTCATTGATGTAGTACCATTACCTTTCGTAGCAGCTGCATAAGTTTTTTTACAATACTTACATTTTGCTTTTTTAGCTCCACTAGGATCATCATACTTCTCAAAATGGTTCCAAGCATCAGATCTAGGTTGCATGACTTTCCTTTTCTTTGGAGCTTCATCAGGACTGAGACATTCAGTGTTAGGTATGCTATAATTTGAACCCCCACCTTCGCAGGCTTCGCTTACCCTACTTTCATTTTCTTCCATCTACGAAAACGAATACAAGCAGAATAATAAAACACTGAGCTATAATAATGCGAAAAAGGAAGATAGAGGAGGAGACAGAAACAAGCATAAAATTAAATGAGGTAACAAAAATAATAACCGAGCAAGAAGACAGAAAATGGACATCAAATTCAAGAGTCAAAACTTCTTTCAACAATATACATGCACCTTTAAGTCTTTAACTACTAGTTTTTAGCAGAAAAAGAAGAAGAAGAAATTTACTAAAACGAGAGAAAGAAGAGAAGATCGGCGAGGACAGAGAACAAAAAAGAAGAAATGAGAGAAATATAACAAAAAATAAGCTTACCGGCACAACCGCACCAGTGTATCAATGGTGATAGAGACTAGAGAGAGAAGTTTGAAAAAAAAGAACCCTAGCGTATTTGGGAAAAGCTTAAGAATGGGAAAAGCAAAAGCTGATGACCTTAAAACTTAAAAGTCTTTAAGCGTGGGCCTAGGATTTGTTAAGAGTGGGCCATCTTTGATGGAACTTAAAATTGGGTCTAGTATTTGTTATATTGGGCTTAGCCTATATATAGTTTAAAGAATCAATTTGCTAATAATTCGATTTTTCGGTTAATCGAACAAAATAAATCAATAACCGACGACTGAACCGAGAATTTTAAAATTTTAAAATTGAAACCGACCGAAAAGACCGAATAACCGAAACCGAAATAAAAATATTTTCGGTTTGATCGTCTTTTCGGTTCTAACCGATATATGCCCAACCCTACTTTTAAGTATTCAACCGAGACATTGGAGATTGAAAAAACTACAAAATTATGCATACAACTTTACCAGTACGTTGACATTTTGTTAATTCCAGAGTTTGTTAGTGCTTTGTATTTGCAATATGAATGGCTTTAGAAGTTATCGGTTTAATATTTCGCTTTTGGATCTGCGAATTATGATTGAACACTATTTACTTTCTACAAAAAAAAGTATTTGAGTCACTCGGCCGTTGACTCTTTCTTCTCAATTTTCTTTTTGTTTGGTTGTTGAAAAAATTATGGAAGAAGTTTGAAAAAGAAAACACATTTTTTTTATTTATGAATAAATCTTATCCTTTATAATGCACATTACTATGTTTTATTCCAAAGAAGAAAGACTGATTTGCTTTTGAATTGATTACACTGTAAATTATTCTGGCGAAACAATTTCTGAAAAAAAAAAAAGGTGAATAGAATTTTCGAATTAAAAACTTTTAAACTGTCAATCCTACATGAATCCCCGTGAGAATCAATAACGGTAATGTTCTATTGATCAAGTTTTAAGAAATGTCCTCACAAGAGTGCTATAGGCTTTTGTGCTGAATTTATAAATATCAAAAGAATTTAAATTGATGAAAATATTGTAGCTTCTGCATATATATTCAGTACGTGGAATGTAGATGTTGATATCCCATTTGTTAGTTTAACATTGTATATTCATGAATTTCTATTTTATCATTTTTATTCAACAAATAAGTTGTCGAGGGAAGAACAATTAAGGGGCATTGAAATAATTATTCATGAGCTTTAGAGAGCAAGAGATGGTGTAGATAGCAAACTGAAAAAGAAAGCTGAGACGAATGTTCTGGTTGTGACAGGCAGCGCCGGCCCAAGGGTAAGGCTGCTAAAGCAGCTGCTTTGGGCCTCGTTATTTTTGGGGCCCCAAATTTTTCTAATAGGTTATATACTAATTTATTTTTAGAAGAATATTTAGTGCTTTAAATAAGAAAGTACAAATTTTTATAGTAAAAAAATAAGATTAAATTGTTGATCATAAATTGAGAAAAAAATATCTTTTTGGGAATCACTCTCTAGACCATAAATTGAGAAAGGATTCGATTATTAATTCATAACTCAAAAAAGGTTAAAACTTTAATACAGTCCCACAACGTGTATATCTCAAGAGAAATTAAATGGATTAGATAAAATTATTAATAACTTTGCATATGAAAAATTAGAAATACAGAATTTAAATGAAATTATATATGAATTTTTTCTTTTATATAAAAAAGGGTCTCTTATTGAATTTTTGCTTTAGACCTCTGTATTTATTGAGCCGCCCCTGGTGACAGGTCATATATGTAGCTCCCTAGTAGTTCACAATATCTCCAATGACCAAAGAATGTTTTCACATATCTATCAAATAATTTTACATATAGTGTCAAAGGAATCATGAAAATAGTAGAATAACGAAAAGATGTTTGGCAAGTAAAGATTAATATTCTTTTATAAAAGTTATGGAATTATATTTAATTATATTTTAATTTGTTTTATGATTGCGCAGTACACTAGTTATATATACTTTATAGATAGTTTAAATTTTTGAATTATTTTTTCATTTTATCGCGGATGATCTATTTTTGCTTATTTTAATGCTTGACTATTAATTAATGACACTTTCTTATTAAACGATCTTAAATAATTCAATCTCTTTGTTCTTTTATTCTCACAAATCAAAATTTATTACCCTCCTGAAATCACAAATTAGTACAACATATTAAACTAAAATAAAGTTAATAATATTACAAAATTTTAAAAAAAGGTGAAGAACACCTAGATTGCCTCCCAAAAAGTGCCTTAGCTATTATCAAGGTATGATATTGTCTTATCAAGACTTTCTTCTCTGCCTTGAACATTATACCCCTAGCTCTACATCTACTCTATCATTGTGTTCTCACAGGAGTGATATCCCGAAGGTGGCGGTCACACAAGTTCTGTGGCCTAAAGCAAAACTTTACGAAGAGCCTTAATTTTTTTAATTTTTTTTATTTATTTATTTGAAATCTATTTCTCTAGCGTTTTTTAGATACAAAGTTATTAATAATTTTCTTATAATCGATAACTCCTAATAAGTCTTTCTTAATTGACAATATAGCTAATCCATTTAACCTTTGTTGATACATTGTTGATCTTAGGTAAGATTTTATCAATTTTAAATTTGAAAATTTCTTTCCGCTAAAGCGACGGTAACACGAGTTATTAATATTATTCTATAAGTAATATAGGCATTGAAAAAAGAATCAAATTTTTTATTTGACCGGGCGTATCAATTAAACTGTTATCTTCTAATTGTACTATTTTTCTTAATATTTTTAATTTCGAAAATAAATCTAAACCATCAATATCAAATCGATTATTATGCTTTAAGGAACACTCAAGATTAAGGCAATATTTTTTAAAATTTCCATCATCTAGTGATCTTAGTTTTTACCGCTAAATAGAAAACCAAAAATATTTTCATATGCTTCGAATTATTCAAATCTTTTTTGAAGTGAAAAAAATAGCCTTGTCTTCTATGTACAAAATAATCAACTCCAAAGGACTCTTCGAAAGATTTTGAGATTTTGTTACCAACATTCTCATCAAATTGTTACTTCCTATATATTTTATGTTTCTTACGAAAATTGAATTCGATATTCATTTCAAGTGCAATTTTCATGATAGAAATCATAGCAGTTGTAAATCCTTCTTCTCTATACTCATTTAAGAAAGACGAAAATCAAACTTTTTCAACGAACCTTTTTTAAACTTATAACCTAGTGGATGTAATAAAAAATAGGCCCCCACAAATATGAGGCCTAAAGCAATTGTTTTACTTGCTTTATAAAAGGGCCGCCCCTGTATCAAGTGTTTCATTTTACCTCTTTTTTTGGGGTCCTAAAGCGGAGGGTGTCGCCTCTTCTTGGTGGCATTTCAAACTTCACAATGGATATCATTTCAAAATTGACATATTAAATGGGTTGCCAGATAAATCATTCTCTAGTGTGCCTCCAGCTTTCATGCTTGTAGATCAGATAATTCACATGTGCTTTTAGAGTTCTTCTAATCGTCTTTTGGGTGAAAATTTGGCGTAAGAATACTCCTCTTCACCTTTCCTTTGCGTCATTTCGTTCTCAGATGTGACAATGTCATTCCATTTGCGTGGAGCATCCAAAATTCTTTCAAAGTTAGAGAATTTGTTAAGAAAATATTTGTTCAGTGAAAGCGGACTCGTGAGTTATTCGTTATACGTAATGAATTATATAAGTCTATTCTTTCTGATCTTACGACGTAGAATATTACCTATAATTTGTATTATCTTCTAAATGGTGAATTGCACACATTCCCTTGCGTGAATGTAAGTCTAATAACTGAAACACGTAAAATTATTGTTTTCCTCCTTTGGTATATTTTTATTGTATTGTCTGAGTTATCATCATATAAGTCGTTTATTCTCAAAATTATACCAAAATTCCAATGCTAATAAAAATAATTTTTTGTAAGAAAAATATTACACACCAAGTAGAGAAAATAATATGTGCTTTTATTTTTGGCGGAATACCTAAAAACCACCCTAAACTTGACACGGATTATTAGTTACACCCCTAAACTATTCGTGGTCTTAATTACCCCCGAACTTGGCCTTTTGAGAGCAATTACCTCCCTGGACGTTGATGTGACGAAGAGTGTGGGTGCACTCTCTTTTAAGCGCGTGAAAGTGAAGAAAAAATTAAAAAATCAGCTTCCAAGTAAGTTATTTTTTAACTTTTAATTGTCATAGAGTCATATATAATGATTTATTTGTTACAACTATATATTTCTTATTGCTTTATTTTAACATATAATGTGGACTTTACTCTAACTTTTATTCTTTTTAATTTCTTCTATAGATAAAATGTCTATTTGTTCCGACTGCATATTTCTTCTTTTTTTGTTGGGCCAAATTTATAAAAGTTTGGTTGGAACTCCATCAATTTAGCCAAATAAAAAACTTTGAGCAAAAACAATGGAGTACTAGTTGTGTATTTTCTATTATTATTTCCTTTAGATATAAAGTCTATTTATTTTAATTGTGTGTTATTATTTTCGAGTCAAATCAGTAAAAAGAATAGCTACAACTCCATTATTTTTTTACCAAATAAAAAGGTATAGCCAAAATAATGAACTTGCAATTGTACACTCTTTTTATTTCTTCTTTTGATGCAATGACTATTTATTTCAACTGTGTGTTTTTACTTTTTCCGGTAATATCTATAAAAAAATATATTTTAGATCTCCACAATTTAGAGCTATATAAAATATTATAGCCAAAATAATAAAAATCAAACTATGTATTTTTTATATCTTTTTAGATGCCTTGACTATTTATTTCAACTGTATAAATCTTTATTTTCAGGTCAAATTCAAGAAACAATAACTAAAACTTTATTATTTTTAGCCAAATAAAAAATATTAGCCTAAATAATGTAGTTCTAGCCAAGTTTTATTATAAATATTATTCTAAAAATATTATCTAAAAAAGTAACACACTTAAAAAGATATAAAATATATTTTATTTTTCAAAAGATGCCACATGGGCAGGAAAATCCACGTGGCAGGCGAGTGCATGCCACTTTCCTAGGATGAGATCATCCAAGGGGTAA